TTCTTCTGTTTTCCTTTCTTCTGTTTTCCTTTCTTCTGTTTTCCTTTCTTCTGTTTTCCTTTCTTCTGTTTTCCTTTCTTCTGTTTTCCTTTCTTCTGTTTTCCTTTCTTCTACCACAAAAGTCTGCGACAGACTTCCGCGAATTTCGGCAGATTAACTTTTTACAAGCTAGTTTCGTCTAGACTTACTTCCCTTCTCGAGTCTTCGCGGTCTTGTTAGCGTTTTTCTTTTTCGAGGAGACGGGGGAGTCAATTGCTTTCGCGAGGTGAGACTTTGCCTGGGATTTTCTCGGGCAGGTTTCCCAGCAATTGGTGTGGATACGTTAACAACGTAGGTTCTGGGTTGAGTAAGTTTCGCTTTTCCTGATTAGTGTGACTTTAGCAGCTTGCTGCCTTTTTTTTTTTTACCTTTGGTGAATCGCTTTTCAGGTTTTAGTAGAGGTAAGTTCATCTCTATTTCAATCCCATGTCTGGCCCAGCTTCTTATCACGTTTGGTCTCAGCTTCACCTCTTGTCCCAGTTAGCTGATATACGAACAACGCAGCTTCTTGAGTCGGTATTCGCTCGTTGGAGGGGCTGTTGTATGGGCGGTGACAGATTTGAGGGGGTTCTACAGACTTGGTAGCGTGCTATCTTGTCTGTTTAAGGAGGTGAAGGGGGTAAAGGAGGTGAAGGAGGGCCAGCAGGTGAAGAGCATACCACTGGTGAAGTACAGCACCCTCTCATTTGACGTTCCGATCCCAGTTGGTACCAACCTCGAGTACATTGGCGACCACGCCAAGCTTGGCATAACCTCCAAGAGCGGCATCAAGGTCCGAGTTGTGTCGTACGCCGCTGTTCAAAAAATGGAGGACGCTTGGATTGGATTCACCATCAAATTTCTTCTTGGTGACAATGAGATCAGGGGTATGGAACCAGGCTTCCCACCTTCTCTTCCCACTGTGGGCGGACACGAAGCCCGACTCAGAGGCTATGGTCGACGGCAAAGTGGTCAAAAGGGTTGCCATCATAACCTTCCACCTCAACAAAGACGCCTAATACGCGTCGAACGCTTCGGCTTCCCCTTTTCAAATCCTGGGCACGACAGTCATGGGTGGATCAACGAGAACACGCCTATCGCGGGCGGAGTGTCCCTCCAGGATTTCCTTGCTCAACGCGTTTCACTTTTCCAAGGTCGGCATCCTCTGTGGACCATGATCTGCGGTCGATAATGGCCGGCAGTGGTCGCATTTTCACCAAGAAGTTTAAGCCAAGGAGGAAGGTGTGACGGGCTGTGCCCGATGTGTGCCTCGGCAACCCTCGGCATGTGTGTGCACCCCTGGATGAAGCTATTCCCAAGATTACTTGGTATGGCGCATGGACCACCAGACGAGAAGTGTCTGGAATCTTCTTTCACCGCGCTGAAGCCAACTTGCGTGTCTATATTAGACGCATGCCGGTGAACCTTCTTGTTCTCTTCTTCCTTTTCTTCTTCACTCAAGGATTTTAGTAGTGTAGGTAGTACCAATTGCAACACATTGCTGCGAACCCTTACAGAAGGAGGAGGTCTGAGGTCAGGTCATAATGTTTTATTAGGCTAGAGTTTGACACTTAAAATGAATACATGTTTTAACCTTTGCTCAGGCTTGGTAATAACCGTGCTACACTTCTCATTTTAAGCCTAGGCCATGATCTTTTCCTGTTCATGCCTGACTAATTCAGTCTTCCATACATTCGAAAAGAAATTGTAAGCATACCAAAGGAAATTACACGTATTCATGTTTAACTCCATACGTTCGAAAAGAAGTTATAAGCATACCAAAAAAAAATACACGTGTTCATATTTAACTCCATACATTCGAAAAAAATTATTAGCCTACAAAATGAAATTCTACATATTTATATTTAACCAAGCATCTATGCTACTAGATTATATAACACATATCAGTGGTAATGTGCAGGTGTGAAAGGTTTGTCTTATAGGGTTTTGTCGAAAAGATCACGTCTTAAGCTGAAGACTACAGATAAAAATAAACATAGCGGAAGTCTGACTAACGTTATAGGCATTAAGTTGAATAAAAAGGTGCGGGATCTTCAAGGATGGGTAACCATCACCTTCCTATAACCTCCTTTCTTAAGTTTCGTTTATTTCTTCATCATCTCCAAGTTACACGCTGCGCAAAATAAAACCATTGGGCATCACCTTACTTTCGTCACGGTACAATTAATATAAAAATGTAAAATAATAGGGTCGAGCTAAGGATCTCACCGCATGCGTCAAGCTCAAGACAGACCAACGCAACGGCGCCCAAAACTCAAATACTTTATTGATGCAAATGGGAATCGGAAACACAAAAGAATTGGTAAAATAAAGGGCCGGGCTGGGATTTGAACCCAGGACCACTTGCAATCTTCTAAGAAGAGAAGAAGTCAGAATTCCCAAAGCAAGTATGCTACCACTACACCACACGGCCCTCTGAGCCGGATTGATGCAAGGTGAGCGAGCCAGCACCCATGATGATGGCAGACGAGGTCATTATTTTCTTTGACTGCACTCTGCTTCTTGTAATCAGGCTTCCCCAAGCACCTGAGAGGAAACTTATCTGATTTCTCAGCGACATTGCTTCTCTCCACCCGAAAAGTCCATACAGTCGGGTGAGTTGCGGCTCTTGTAGCGTACCCGCTGCTGCTGGGATAGACAGGGGTTCGTGTCCATCGAGCAGGATCGTGTTTTTTTTTTCAGGGGCCACTGACGTTCTATAAAGAAGATTCGTAAGCACTGGCAAAAAATGAGCTTTTAAAGTTACGGGTTGTTCGTTGGTCAAATGTCCCGTGCATCTTCAATATGCACGATTGATTGATATATCGAGCGGAGAAGTGGAGAAGCGTTATACCACAGACTTTGTGTACAGCACTTGGCGCCTTGATTGTTAAGCATTTTTGTCTCGTAGGAGAAGGCTAAGGTGATTTCTCTACTTGAATTTGTCATCCAGTACATGATGGGTGCTCGATTTCCTTCCCACTACCGATTTCGTGCAGTGCCAATGCAAAAGTGTCCGAGTCAAAGCGTTGTGAAACAATTGACACACAGATATGTTGCAAAATAGCCGGTCTGTTCATCATCCCGGGAGTAGTAGCAAGTGATTGCCAAGGAGAATTCCCGGCAGGCATACCACTCACCATCGGATTCTCTCGGATTCGATCCTACACCAAGACTTTTGTAGAACTGGAGTTAGGCATTAAGGGCATCAGTGGTCATTCTCCAGACGGCATCACAGCGCAGAGTTTCTTTCGGTACCAGGGTTGACCCGTCCCCTGCAACGTCGGGGAACACAAGGCCCCCGTCCTAAGTCCATCTTGAGCTTCAATGTTACTAGGGATACGTGTTTACTTCTTCACACACGTAGAACTTGTCGCCGTGAAGAGTAGTATAAGTGCATTCCTATCCCCTTATCCCCTTTCATCTTTCCTCTCCCTCCTCACCATCAGCTTCAACTCATCAACCCAAGACTCGCAGGCCTCATCCAATCACCCACCCCAACTTCACTTCACCAACTTCCAGTTATCAACATCATGGCCGCCTCAATCCCCCTTTACCAAGTCGCCTTTGGGACTCTCGCCCGCATCCTGACCACAACCCACGACATCCTCTCCAAAGCAAAAGAAACCCACCCCAACCTCATCCCCTCCCTCCCCCGCATCCGCTTGTACGAGGACATGAACCCCCTCTACTACCAAGTCCAAACGGTGTGTAACTTCGCCCACACCCTTGCCTCCCGCCTGACCACCCCCACCGCAACATCCTTTGCCCCCCTTCACGGCTGGGAAAAATATGACGAAGAAACCATCACCGTCGACCAGCTCCTGGAAAAAATCGCCATCGCCAGGGAGGTCCTTGCGAAAGTCACACCCGAAAAAGTTGCAGAGGCGGTAGTCGCTGCGGCGAAAGATGCGGAGGAGAAAAAGACCAAGACGTATGCGATTTCGAACCCGGAGCCGAGACCCTCGTTTGCTTTTGATGCTAGCCAGTTTGTGCTGGGGTATGTCCTGCCCAACAGTTACTTTCATATGAATATTTTGTATGCGATTCTGAGAAAGGAGGGGGTTCCGCTGGGCAAGGCGGATTATTTGACTCCTTTTCTTAAGGAGGCTGTTGTTGGGACTTGGGGGACTTCGCACTAGATGTACATTTGTGTGATATGAAAAACTGGAGGGTATACCGGTGATGGAAGAAGTGAATAAATAGGAGTGGGCTGGCAGAGAGGGCTGGATTTGTCCTGGCTTTGGGTTGGGGGGAGAGGTCTGGGTGTTTGTCTTTTTCACTTACTACTGGTAAGTGGCAGGGGGTCACTTTCACAGTGTAGTAGGTAGCAAACACAAACGAGATGAAAATACAACTTTCTTACTCCCATCAAACCCCCCCACCAACATTACCCCCCTCACACCCCCCCAACCCATAACAACCTAATGACCCTCCAAAGGGTAACTCCCACTATACAAAGCATCATCATTAACAACCAAATACAAGCCCATCTTTCCCGCATTCGTAATCTCCTCATCTTCACCAATCTCCTGTTCGAAACTCGGTATCTCCTGCCGCAGCTCTTCGAACCCCTTTGGAATCTCGGCAGGAAGATCCTCCTCAAGCTCAAGCTCTCGATGAGCTCTAACAGCGGTCCAAGTATACGAGACATAGGCAGTCTTTGACATGCTGGGCAAGGCGCTGAGCGTCGGGATCGTGACTCGAAACCCATTCTTATCAGCGCCGGCATTATAGGTTGAAACCTTTCTGAAGAGCAGCTGTGATATCGGGCCATCTGGGTGTTGATGGGCGAAAGGGGGATTTCCATATGTTCGTTCGAGTTCAAGGTTGTTTGCCCCGAGGAATCGATCGAAGGCGGCGACGGAAACTTTGAAACCGCCGAGGATGGTTGTGGCCATTGAGTAGAGGGGTTGGTGAGTTGCCCGGGCAAAGTTGGTGTGGATCAAAAGTGCGTTGGATGTATCCAGTTGAGAAGTTGACGGGGCCGGGGGGACGAATTTAGGTACTGTATGTGACGACTGTGTGCCTAGAGGGAGGTCCCTGATAGTCACCCATGGGTCACGGAATGGAGCAGGGTATTAGGCAACAACGAGTCACAGCCAAAGTTGGCTGTTTGACGGGTTGTCAAGCATTCACATCAGATTGTCTGGACACAGAGATGGGTATTAACTAACAGTGATTCCAAAACACCAACAAAATTCTCTTGGAACAATCTTCACATGCAGAATCCCAAAACCTCATTCGCGGCCTTCACGGCTTGTTTTCCTCCAGGGGTATCGCCGGTTGTCGCCTCCAAGGGCTCAAGTCCCATCGCCTGTGCGCCAGCAGGACTGCGATACTGTTTCACGTACCCCGCCGTTGGCCGACCGATGTGCTCCGACTCTCCTTTGCCTCCCGGGAAGTCAGGCGGAGGTGTTCCCTCCAAGAAGGCAGCTCGCTCCCGGGCCACGTAACGGGCACTGGCTTCCGTCGTGGGGCAAACAGGAATATACAAGACACTCGAATCGGATGTCCCATTGTGAGTTTTATCCACCGCGTGGATTGCTTTAGGTGTGTATTAGCATTGGACTGACGTCACCGAGGAGGGACTTGCAGACAGGACTTACTATCACAGTGCCAAACCACATAATCCCCCGGCTTCACCTCAGGCATATGAACCATCGTCCTATCCAGTTCCAAGTGCGGGTGCATCCCCTCAGGAAACTCCTGACCATGCCCCGGCGTGGCACCCTGCAGTTCGCTCGTCATGACCTCTCCACCTGTAAACTCCCAGTTATCCGCTGCGAGAAAACGGTCTTTGTCACCGGCAAGGTCCTTGAGTTCACGTCTCGCACGGAAGAAAGGCCGGAGGAGGGTGTACACGGCGGCTTCCCTCACCAGGGGGTTGACAAGCAAGGTACCCTGCCCCGGTCCACAGCGGGACATGGCTAGCCACCCTTGAAACATGCGGAACATGCTGCACGACCCCAATCCATCGTACAGGTCCGTTACGGCATGCACCCGCCCGGAGGCATCAAAGGGGTCGTAGGATTCCCACTCCCCGCGGAAGACGTCGGCGTAGACCCCGCCGAGACCGTAGCCGTTGTCTTCCCAGCGCTCGACGCTGCCGCCGTCGATGTGAGGGCCTAGAGCGAACTTGGCATCGCCAGGGAGCCGGATACGGAGACGGTCTGCGTAGGACAGGGGGGTAGAGAGGGAGACAGGAGTGTTGGGGTCGGAGGTGTGCCAGAGGGAGGTCATGAGGGCGGTCTGAGTCTTGAGGAGAGCCGGGTGCCCTCGAGCTCTGATTTGAGGGGAGGACCAGTAGAGTTCCAAGACTTGGGGGTTATCTGCTGGGAAGCCTGTTCACAAAGAGTCAGTATCCATGTTCAGACTGAAGTGCGGGCGAGGAGAAGGTTGGAGAGTAATGCAGTACCTTTTGTGTGGGGATTGAGCCGGACATACTCCTCAATCTCAAACTTGTACGCCCTAGCTTCGTCTTCAGGGATAATTCCTCGGACGACAGCCACACCGCGTTTCTTGAGCTCGGCCTTGGAGGCATCTAGATCCTCGAGGAGATGGCTGAATCGAAGCTGGGGAACAATGCTTGGGCCCAGGCGGGAGACTGTATCATTTTCTTTGCGTAGTGTATCCACCAGTCGTTTCCATCCTGCAATGACGAATTTCTCGTGCTCTTGCACAAGACGGAGTTTGAGCTGTCGAAATCGGTCGGGCAGCAGCTCGAACGCTTTCCCAGAGAGGGACGTGAAGGCGTCCGATATGTCTCCCTCTCGTTTGCTGCCTGGGCTCGTGATGGGATTCATGGCTGCCATCGCGATCAAGCGCCGCTGTTGGCGGGGTGATTTTGGCCGAGGACATTGCCCAAGGCAAGAAGTGGTGCATCTTGTCCTTGCGAGCATTTCTGTTGGACTAGGGACCGAATGGATCAAATGATGACCTCCGTGGTGACTTCTGCGAAAGTGTGGCTGTTGGAGCCCCGCGATTTAAGGGGGAGATAGTCATCTTGAAGTTTGTGGTACATCGACTCTGTTATAAACTTGGATTGGAAACCATACTCCCACCCAAATCATCGGACCGCTGCCCCGGTGCAGCTCTAGGCGGGAGTTTCCAAAAAAAGGTTGGTTCCGCTCGATCAGAATTGAGCGGCTTCTCCTTTTTAGGTAAGCTTGACGGGTGTCGGGACCTCTCAAATAGGTTAGCTCAATGCCGAGAATAAGCGGCGGACATGTCACACGCACAACGTCATACTTGCTCTTCGTTATCCTCTGGACTGGCAGAGCCGGCCCCTAGAGCTGACCCGGGCTATTGTATCTGCCGAGCTGACCACCGTTGTTGATACGGCAGCGGACCGGCATGCCGATGAGGGAGGTCGGCATTAAAAGCGTAGTGGTACGATGTCCCGAAATTTTCCCGCTGATCGTCACGCGCTGT